CTGCAGGTCAGGTGGCTTCGTTCCGCGCGACCTCCACATCGCGACATGGCAGAAAATGGTGAAAGGGTTGGCTCGGAAACACGCTGTTCTCACAGGAATGTGGAAAGGCCTTTAACTGACAAGGAGAGCAAGCTCTACATGGCACTATGGCGCCTTGTGAGCTCGGGATCGGCATTCACCTGCCATATGGGTCAGCAGCCTATCCAATGCCAGCATGAAGCCGCGCATCAACCCGGAGCTTTCATGAGCTTTCGATCCAAGGAACAGAGTGGGATTAAAGCTGAAACATGAACCCAAACCCAACAGCGCAAGCATCATGTTGCGTGCCCAAAAACAATGCAGTCAGAGCGCGCAACCCTGCAAGCCAAAATGCAATTCTTGCGCTGGGGCTCTACATCCGGCGAAGACACGGGCCTTGTCCTGCTGTACGAAGAGCTTCGCGCGCTGCAAGGGCTCCTCTCCAGAGCACGCTGCAGTGGGCGAAGATGAATTTAGTCAACTTCTTTGCATAAACTGCGCAACAGTTGAGGGCACACCTGCAGGTCAGGTGGCTTCGTTCCGCGCGACCTCCACATCGCGACATGGCAGAAAATGGTGAAAGGGTTGGCTCGGAAACACGCTGTTCTCACAGGAATGTGGAAAGGCCTTTAACTGATAAGGAGAGCAAGCTCTACAGGGCACTATGGCGCCTTGTGAGCTCGGGATCGGCATTCACCTGCCATATGGGTCAGCAGGCTATCCAATGCCAGCATGAAGCCGCGCATCAACCCGGAGCTTTCATGAGCTTTCGATCCAAGGAACAGAGTGGGATTAAAGCTGAAACATGAACCCAAACCCAACAGCGCAAGCATCATGTTGCGTGCCCAAAAACAATGCGGTCAGAGCGCGCAACCCTGCAAGCCAAAATGCAATTCTTGCGCTGGGGCTCTACATCCCGCGAAGACACGGGCCTTGTCCTGCTGTACGAAGAGCTTCGAGCGCTGCAAGAGCTCCTCTCCAGAGCACGCTGCAGTGGGCGAAGATGAATTTAGTCAACTTCTTTGCATAAACTGCGCAACATTTGAGGGCACACCTGCAGGTCAGGTGGCTTCGTTCCGCGCGACCTCCACATCGCGACATGGCAGAAAATGGTGAAAGGGTTGGCTCGGAAACACGCTGTTCTCACAGGAATGTGGAAAGGCCTTTAACTGACAAGGAGAGCAAGCTCTACATGGCACTATGGCGCCTTGTGAGCTCGGGATCGGCATTCACCTGCCATATGGGTCAGCAGCCTATCCAATGCCAGCATGAAGCCGCGCATCAACCCGGAGCTTTCATGAGCTTTCGATCCAAGGAACAGAGTGGGATTAAAGCTGAAACATGAACCCAAACCCAACAGCGCAAGCATCATGTTGCGTGCCCAAAAACAATGCGGTCAGAGCGCGCAACCCTGCAAGCCAAAATGCAATTCTTGCGCTGGGGCTCTACATCCCGCGAAGACACGGGCCTTGTCCTGCTGTACGAAGAGCTTCGCGCGCTGCAAGAGCTCCTCTCCAGAGCACGCTGCAGTGGGCGAAGATGAATTTAGTCAACTTCTTTGCATAAACTGCGCAACAGTTGAGGGCACACCTGCAGGTCAGGTGGCTTCGTTCCGCGCGACCTCCACATCGCGACATGGCAGAAAATGGTGAAAGGGTTTGCTCGGAAACACGCTGTTCTCACAGGAATGTGGAAAGGCCTTTAACTGACAAGGAGAGCAAGCTCTACATGGCACTATGGCGCCTTGTGAGCTCGGGATCGGCATTCACCTGCCATATGGGTCAGCAGCCTATCCAATGCCAGCATGAAGCCGCGCATCAACCCGGAGCTTTCATGAGCTTTCGATCCAAGGAACAGAGTGGGATTAAAGCTGAAACATGAACCCAAACCCAACAGCGCAAGCATCATGTTGCGTGCCCAAAAACAATGCGGTCAGAGCGCGCAACCCTGCAAGCCAAAATGCAATTCTTGCGCTGGGGCTCTACATCCGGCGAAGACACGGGCCTTGTCCTGCTGTACGAAGAGCTTCGCGCGCTGCAAGGGCTCCTCTCCAGAGCACGCTGCAGTGGGCGAAGATGAATTTAGTCAACTTCTTTGCATAAACTGCGCAACAGTTGAGGGGCACACCTGCAGGTCAGGTGGCTTCGTTCCGCGCGACCTCCACATCGCGACATGGCAGAAAATGGTGAAAGGGTTTGCTCGGAAACACGCTGTTCTCACAGGAATGTGGAAAGGCCTTTAACTGACAAGGAGAGCAAGCTCTACATGGCACTATGGCACCTTGTGAGCTCGGGATCGGCATTCACCTGCCATATGGGTCAGCAGCCTATCCAATGCCAGCATGAAGCCGCGCATCAACCCGGAGCTTTCATGAGCTTTCGATCCAAGGAACAGAGTGGGATTAAAGCTGAAACATGAACCCAAACCCAACAGCGCAAGCATCATGTTGCGTGCCCAAAAACAATGCGGTCAGAGCGCGCAACCCTGCAAGCCACAATGCAATTCTTGCGCTGGGGCTCTACATCCCGCGAAGACACGGGCCTTGTCCTGCTGTACGAAGAGCTTCGCGCGCTGCAAGGGCTCCTCTCCAGAGCACGCTGCAGTGGGCGAAGATGAATCTAGTCAACTTCTTTGCATAAACTGCGCAACAGTTGAGGGCACACCTGCAGGTCAGGTGGCTTCGTTCCGCGCGACCTCCACATCGCGACATGGCAGAAAATGGTGAAAGGGTTTGCTCGGAAACACGCTGTTCTCACAGGAATGTGGAAAGGCCTTTAACTGACAAGGAGAGCAAGCTCTACATGGCACTATGGCGCCTTGTGAGCTCGGGATCGGCATTCACCTGCCATATGGGTCAGCAGCCTATCCAATGCCAGCATGAAGCCGCGCATCAACCCGGAGCTTTCATGAGCTTTCGATCCAAGGAACAGAGTGGGATTAAAGCTGAAACATGAACCCAAACCCAACAGCGCAAGCATCATGTTGCGTGCCCAAAACCAATGCGGTCAGAGCGCGCAACCCTGCAAGCCACAATGCAATTCTTGCGCTGGGGCTCTACATCCCGCGAGGACAAGGCCCGTGTCCAGAGACACTAGATCCCTGCACATACAACTTAAAGTAACAGTCCTCCTTTTGTTACGGTACTCAGTGGCAGGAGGGGCTCCTGCTCGATGATCTTTGGCACATGGACCACCTGCTCCTGAACCGAAAACTAGGATCCCTGACCCTGCTTCCCCTAGGCTTCTCCTTGTCTAGCTTTAGGACTGGAGATTTAGGGGCTTGGGTTCGTTTGAATTCTACATTTTGGTCTTGCCAGCGATTTTTCCGAAGTGTGTTGGCTTCAACTCATGCTTGGGCTGGCTCCGTCGCTGGAACTCAGGCAACAGAAGTTGCGGGAATGCAATATTCAATACTGAAGTCTTTTGGCTTGCGGGATCTCTGCTTCGACCTCTGGCATGAGCTTGGAGGGCACTGCAGCCGGAGAGCCACGAGAACCTGCTCAGCCCTGAGATTGGATGCAGCGATTGCAGCTTACGAGGCGCAGAGCACGCCCTGAACCAGAAACAGCCCCGACAACCTCGGGATTTCGCAGATTCTCCCAGCCTGCACCTGCGTCATTGGGACTTCCACGACCTGGCTCGGGACAGGAATTGGGGCTGGGGTCAAGGATTCCAGAGCTGAAGCTTCATCACTAAAGACCCTGGGGAAAGAGAGTCCGAGAGCAGACATTGTGGTGAGCTCGCCACACCTACAACTAACTCTAATTTGGGTGCTGCGCTTCCACTATACGAATGCACTAAACCCACAAGTCCCACTCTGAAGCCAGAATAGAAAAAACTCTCCGACCATCGCCTGCTCCACGTGCTGATGCATCACCCGGGTCTGGATAACGACTTTCGGCACGTGGACAACCGTCTCCTGCGGGTCTAGGGTTCAGGAGTTTAGGGTTCTTAGCTCGCATTACTCATCCTCCCGTGCACCAGCCAGCAGGCACCCCGACATCACAGTTTTCGGCAAGGGCTTCGTCCCAACATAACAAGGCAAGTCATCTTTGAACCCTTGCATCCCAATCCGAAAAGCGGCCTCGAAGGTTTCGAGTCCTTTTCTGCAAGAGCTGCAGGACATTAGAAACACCCTGCAGCATACTTAAGAAGGACCCTTACAGCCGAGTCCTGGCTCATGGGACTCGGCACCTCCACCATCTGCTCGACATGCTGGTGGATCTGACCTCAGAAATCTCAAGGGCTCAAGGCCCAGGGAGTTCTAGGGTTTAGAAGGATTGAGATGTATGTTGGGTTATTCTCATCCCGCGACATCCTACGGACCATGGAAGCTCGCGCTAAACAAAGCCTCAGCAACATGGACATGTCGGAGATTCCACTGTCAGTAGTAAACTCCTACGTGGCTACAAGAAGGCTGCTCCATTGAATACGGACAACAACAGAAGAACAGCAGAAGCCATGGAAGCATGTCACATGAGCATGATGGTGACCACCGTCGCAGCCAGGATCATCATGTTACTACACATTACGGTCTCTGATGTCACGGTGAAGCCGATGATCAGGACTATAATTCGATGATAAGGATGATGATAGTCATGCTGGTGGTGATGGTGGTCACAGTTGCAGTTGGCGGGCTCCGTCCAGGATGTGAACAACGATCTTTATGCCAGGCATAGACGACAATGAAGCACTCCTTTGAAAGTGTTACAAACATCAGGACACATGCAACCAACCACTGCCATCATCTTTCGCACCATGCACCATCATCACCAGCAGTCGAAGTAGTGTCGACCATTAGACCTTAGGTAACAAAAGCGGATTTGATAGCTTGCGCCGGATGCGGTCCAGCGGCGAGTCTGAGTAATGAATTTGGGAACGTGGACCTGCTCCTCTTGCGTCATGGGCACGGGCACCGGGAGCCACCCACCGTCATGGGGTTCAGGTTTTCGGGTTCACAACTCACAAGTTGGGTTTCAAGCATCACAAGAAAGACTCCGCCTCGACCACCTGCTCGACTTGCTGGTGCATCACTCGAGTCTGGGTGATGATCTTGGCTACGTGGACCTGCTCCTCTTGCGTCATAGGAACCGGGACCTGGACAGCCGGCTGACCCTCCCTCATCCGGCATCTTAGTTACGGTTCTCTGTGCTTGGTTCTTCGAGCTTTCGGTCCCAAACCCTCGAAGGCCTCCACGATCTGCTCCACAGGCTGGTGACGAATGCGGGTCTGTTTAATGACCTTGGGCACGTGGACCTGCTCCTCCTGTGTCATGGGGACGGGCACCTGACAGAGGGATGCAGTGGCACGGAGGGTCCGGTGGTTGTGGAACTACTTGCCGGGCTGATCTGCTGGGACAGCATGTCCTGATCTGGTATGAAGCAAAGGTATCGGAGGATGTCAGCAGGATGCTCACCCGGCCTCAACGATCTGCTCAACTGGCTGATGCACGATGCGGGGCTGCGTCACGATCTCGGGCACATGCACGATCTCCTCCTGCTGCATGGGGATCGGCACCTCAACCATCTGCTCCACGTGCTCTTGCTGCACACGGGTCTGGGCGATGATCTCGGGGACGTGCACGACCTCCTCCTGCGTCATGGGCACCGGGACCTCCACAAGCTGCTCAACGTGCTGATGCATCTGGCGCTTCTGCACCATCACCTGCAAAAGGTAGATGGACGCTACTATCAATGGTCATTACTGCTCTGCTAATCCTATTACTCTTATTCTTAGCTTTGTTCTTTATTGTTGTTATTGATGGTTGATCTACAACCACTCAAAATCCTCAGCTTCCAGAAACAGGCCGGCCTTGGGGACATGCACGACCTGCTCCTGCTTCATCTGGACGGGAATTTCCACTTGCTGCTCGACGTGCACATGGTGGTGGCCTGCGTCTCAGGACAAAGTCACACGAGCAACGTCAACGGCTTGTCGAAGATTCCACAACCGCAAAAGCCTTCATGTTAGCTCAATGTTCAGAAATGCCAGATCCGCGACAAGGGCCGTACTGCGCTTTGAGGAGTGGTATACTCTTTATGCGCGAGCGGCCACGACTCCTACAGCAGGCCTGCTGTCCGAAACACACTCAACACTACCTGAGTCACTGAGATAGGGGCGAGCTTGGGTTTGCGTCACTGGCACATGGACGACCTCCTCCACAATCTGCGGCACAGGGACGTCAACCTCAGGCAAGAAGGAAAGTGGTCTTGAGAATACTCAACTCATCCAGTTGCAGTTAGGCTGGTATAGAGAGAGCCACGGTGGCGAAGTTGGTTGAATGCGGACCAACGGTGCCCTACATCATCACATCCCGATTGGCATGGACTGTCCAATCCTGGAGTGTGGTGGATTGTGCTCCTCTCCAGGGACTCCAAGGGCACAATGGGAGGTTGCTTGCTGCTCTGCAAAATCTCGGGTCTGTGCTTCCAAAATGCTTAAGCAGTTCCTACCGGACCAACGGATCTCGCTGCTGCGGCCGTGGTGATGCCACGGCCGCTTCCTTTCCGAGCTTCTATGCCTCTGCGGCTTTGGTGTCGAAGCAGTTCCTCGTTTCTGTCGTGGAGCGTCCACACTCTGGAGGCTCAATTGCAGGCTCCAATACACGACACAAACAAACTCTGTAGGGTGTTCTCAATCATAGGTATCACAGGCAGAAGGCGACAGACATCTGCACCCTGCAAGTTGGAACGCTTTGGCCTTTGTCTCCTCAAATTAGGAATAAAGCTTTTGAAGTTTCAGACGTCCGCTGTGAGGCAAGTGACTTGCATATGACCCTGTTGTCTGGCGTCGTTCGGTGTGTCGATCCTCGTATGTGCCGGGTCACCCTAAACCCTAAACCCTCAACCTTCAACCTTAAAGCCTAAACCCTCAAGCCTGAACCCACGCCATAGAACCGCAAGCCCTAAACCGTACCAGAAGCATTCCGTCAAACTCTGGGAGCCGCCGCCCAGGCAGCTGCAGTTCTTGACACGGTCATGCAACTTTGAGTGTTTCAAGTTTAGGGCTTAGGGTTCAAAGTTTAGGGCTTCGGGTCAGTTTAGGCGATCTGCTGGGTACAATCCCACATACCTCCCCTTGGGGAAGCTCCTTCTTAAAATTGCAGCATAGTATGCCCCAAAACCCTACTCTCCGGATCTTATAGTTCTCCTCTGGATGCCTTAGAGCAGCCCTTTATGGACAGCCTCTAACTATAATGACTCTCCCCTTTTTGTAACCGTCGAGCCGCGATCTGCTCGACGTGGCGATGGGAGACCTTGGGCTGCTCGATGATCTGCGGAACCTGGCGCCGAACTTTAAGACTTTAGGTTTTAGAGTTTAGGGACTTTGGGAGTTGAGGATCTTCGGGCTCAGAGGGCTTACGGTTTAGGGGTTCAGAGCTTGGGGGTTTTCGGGCTTAGGGGTTCTGAGCTTCAGGTTTCAAGTCTGACGTCTGAGGGCTGAAGGGCTTCCTGGAGAAGGCTTACATGGCGGGATGGGTAAACCGTACTGGACGCAGATCTCAGACCCACATCCCACAACTGCAACAGAACCACCAGTCTTCAAGCTGAGCACATCCTGGCAAAGCACTTCGATCTTGTAGAATAGGCATTCCAACAGCATGGAGACTGAAAGCGGGTTTGGCTGTTGCCTGCACCAGGAACCCCGAGCCTGGACGATCTGCTCCACAATCTGCTCGACCTCTTGCTGCACGATTTGCGGAACCTTCCGAGACTTTGGCACATGGAAACTCAGCGCCCCCAGCCAACTCACCAACCAGTCCTCACAACCATAGCTCGTCTAGGCTCATGCCAAGCTGGGAACTTGAACACCCGGAAGCATTTCCAACTCAGGACTCTCACTGAGCCTCGACCACCTTCTGCACAACCTGCACCTGGACGTGGGGTGTGTGTGTGTGTGTGTGTGTGTGTGTGTGTGTGTGTGTGTGTGTGTGTGTGTGTGTGTGTGTGTGTGTGTGTGTGTGTGTGTGTGTGTGTGTGTGTGTGTGTGTGTGTGTGTGTGTGTGTGTGTGTGTGTGTGTGTGTGTGTGTGTGTGTGTGTGTGTGTGTGTGTGTGTGTGTGTGTGTGTGTGTGTGTGTGTGTGTGTGTGTGTGTGTGTGTGTGTGTGTGTGTGTGTGTGTGTGTGTGTGTGTGTGTGTGTGTGTGTGTGTGTGTGTGTGTGTGTGTGTGTGTGTGTGTGTGTGTGTGTGTGTGTGTGTGTGTGTGTGTGTGTGTGTGTGTGTGTGTGTGTGTGTGTGTGTGTGTGTGTGTGTGTGTGTGTGTGTGTGTGTGTGTGTGTGTGTGTGTGTGTGTGTGTGTGTGTGTGTGTGTGTGTGTGTGTGTGTGTGTGTGTGTGTGTGTGTGTGTGTGTGTGTGTTTTTGCTGAAGATGTAGTACGGAATCTTAGCACCTTTCTGCAGCTACGTACAATGCTGTAAGACTCACACATGCCCTATTGCGGCACCCTTATATTAACCTTAGAGACTTCCCTTCTGCAGGTACAAATTTATATATTTTTCTAACTATTTATCAAAGATGCACAATATGAATATGCATACATATGCAGATATATATATATATACACACACACTTATTATGTTCATTTATGTGTTTATTTCTCTGCGTGTTTGTTTGTATACTAACCTTGTTTTGCAACCCTTCTAGTATCCCGTACAACGTCGTCCGAGCACTGACCTCAGGGATCTCCCTAAACCCTAAACCCTGAACCCTAAGCCCAAAACCCCTTAACCCTGGACCCGACACCTTTGAAGGAACCCCACCTCCGGGATCTCCTGTTCCTCCACAACCTCCAGGACTTGCGGAATTTCCACGATCTGCCGGCCAGGGATCGCAGGGCACAGAGATCACAGGTTTGCGACAAGGGTTACTATATACCGGCAGAAGAAAGGCTACCAGAAGCTGCAGAACTATAGGGCTGTCATGGCACGGTGCCTGCGAGACAGTGCTTCGAGGCCAAGATCTCTCAGCTCGACAACACAAAGCCATGACTTTGAGCACCAATCAGCCACCTCTGCCACCACTAGAACTCGCGAAAAGCTCCGAAGCGCATGAATTCATGCATGAATTCATACAATGTTTCTTGGATGGTCTGAACTGCAGAAGCTCATATGTGCCAAAACGAAACCATGGTCCTACCTCAGATCCGCCAACGAGAAAAACCGTGAATGCAACAGTCCTCCACCCTTCTCTTCCTGCATTTCCCCACCTGCTCCTTCACCTGCCCGGCCACGGTCTCCTCAACCTGCTGGGTGCCAACGTGGTAGTCGTAGTAGTCGTCGTAGCAGCAACAACAGCAAGAGTAGTAGTGGTGGTAGTAAGCAACAGGAGTAGTAGTAGTAGTAGTAGTAGTAGTAGTAGTAGTAGTAGTAGTAGTAGTAGTAGTAGTAGTAGCGCCGGGAGCTGCAGAACGTGCGACAGATCACCCTGCCTTCGTATGATCGTGCACTGTAGCGATTCTGTCTAGACAGCAGCTGCAATGCATCCTAGCGGTCCTAGCGGACTCTAGCAGACTCTAGCAACCGGTTCCTTCCAGCACAGGGCGCAAGATCAAAGTATGTCCCAGCACAATGCTGCGCCAGTCAGCGTCGCGCACCTCGGCAAGCCGATGAACCTCGGGATTGGCGTGCTGGCCAGTGGATGATGATCAATCATAGTCCATCCACGCAAAGCACGCGCGAAACTCATGGTCTGCTGCGACGCAATTTCTGCAACGTGCTCACAAGATCAACATGCCGTTGCCTTCCTGCGCCACTTCTGCCACCCATTTGGCGTCCAGCAGGAGTATACCTGCAGGTGTTTTGCTCTCATGTTCCAGCAACAGAGAGCTTCTCTATCATCTAGTGCTAGGCTATAAGAATTGGACAGAGGCAAACACTCGCAAAGATGCCATCCACCAATGCTATAACCAACTGCATAGCACCCGGATTGACAATAAAAATGGTTGGTGAACTTTGGCTGAGGCATTCACCTTCGGCCGCCACACCAAGCGTGAAGTCATGGCAAGTACAAGCTTGTACACGCCCGAAAGGGCTGCAGTCTACCCACTCAGCTACTTTCCTATGACGAGCCTAGGGAGGCGAGCTGCAGGGTCTTTCGATGGCTTGGAGTTCAGGGGTTAGCACTGCACTAACAATCTCAAACTGGGACTTGGGGAATTTAGGGCGGCACAGTACGGTGTCTAGGAAGTCCTGCTCGGTGCTGCTGCGCTGCTGTGGTGCTGCGGTGCAGTGTTGCAGTGGTGCTGCCTGCTATCTTTGCAGCGGCTCAAGCTGGCTGGTGTACCGAGCCGACAAACATGCAGGTCTGCTTATGCACCAAGCCAAAATGAACTTGTGTGCCTCTGCCCGGCCGAGCGGAAGCCGAGACATGCATGCCCAACATAACGAATCCACGCTGACTAAGGGTCAACAGCTTATAGAAGGGATCAAGAAACCTGGCCCACGCTCAAGATCCCTGGTCTTCTGTTCGCTCCAAAACTCTGCACCGGTCGACTCTGGGTGATTGACGGCTTGAGGATATAAGTGTGCAAGCGACCAATGCATGAAGAGCACTTGATTGAGGTTGTCAAGCACGAAACAGTCGCGCGGCGCTGTATGCCGGGACCGAAACAATGCGTCGTGCTCCAGCAGTCCGTGTACAAGAACTAGGGGGTGCTTCAAACCTCCTCTCGTTCTTGGCAGAGGCCTTCTAGTTTGGACATGCCGGGTCAGCTGCTCTCGTTGCGACTGTGCAGCACCGCAACGGAAACTCCTGTTTGAAATCCCAAGCACCATAAACCCTAAGCATGAATCTCTTCAAGCTTCCTGGAGTCGGTCCTGGCGGCTAGCGAACCAGACACCTGAGTC